GGTAAAGAGGAGATAGGATTCCAAGAAGAGGGAGGAGCACATCCAAAGGCCCTGTGGTAGAAGGGAACAGGACAAGCATAATGAAATGGAAATGGTCCAGTGTGGTTTGAACTTGGACTCCATGAGAAACAGTGGAACCAGAGCAGTGGTGACACTTGATATGTAATCAGATGTTTGATGCTGGTGCTGGAGGAGCGTGTGTGTGCACATGTGTGCATATGTGTGTGTGTGTGGGTACATGTGTATGTGTGTTAGGGTGATGTGCCCTCATTCTGATGCTCTCTAGCTGATCGCTCTATCTCCGGGTGTCCCAAGCACCCCAGGGCCGGGTGGAGCGTTGCCTGAGCCAGATCATGCTGCCGTGGGTTCAATGTTACAAAGCAGGGGGATAAAACTGAACAGTGTTTGCTCAGGGATGGGTGCTCGTCTGCCCACCCCCACCCCCGGCCTCTGTCCCTCCCTCCTATTTGAAATTCAAGCAGCTCAGAATGTCCTCTGATTCAGTTCATGAGCCCAAACCTTCACTTACACTTTCCCAGGGGAGGGAGCTGGGGGAGGAGAAAGTATTGGGTACGATGTTACCTGTTTTAAAATTCAAGTGAATTTGCATCAATTTCTTCTTTTGAAACTATCTCAGTATCCTTTGAAATGATTAGAGATGCCCAGCGGTGCCATGGGTGCTGGATGGACAGCAAGGCCTGTGTGTATTTGGGGGGGATGGACAGGCAGGGCTGGTGTACCCCCCATGAAGTCACATCACGGACAGGTCAGAGCTCATGAACTTCTGTCCCCACTTCCTTGTTCTCCAATGTGGAGATTGAGGTCTTGAGGTGACACTTGCAGGGTCTCTTAAGTGACAGAGCACAGAAGGGAAACCAGGTCACTTTCCCAGAGCCACGCTCTGCCCAGGACACACCAGATTCCACAAAGAACTATGAGATTTTTTTTTTTTTTTTTTTAAATATCCTCACTGTTCTGGGAGGAAAAGATAAGAATTTCCCTCTGGGGACTTGGGATACTTACAGATAGAATCTGGGAGCTGGCTCAGGGGCAGATCTGGAACTCTTCTGAGGCCAGCTTATTCTCAGGAGCATTTTATTTTTTGAGAGAGGAGAGGGGCAGAAAGAGAATTTTTTTAAAATAATTTTTTTCAGACTTTCAAATTATTATTCATTTGAGACAGATACAGAGAGAGAGAGAGAGAACAAGCAAGGGGAGAGGCAGAGGGCGAGGGAGAAGCAGACGCCCCGCTGAGCAGAGAGCCTGATGTGGGGCTCTATCCCAGACCTGGAGATCATGACCTGAGCCGAAGGCAGAGGCTTAACCATCTGAGCCACCCGGACGTCCCACAGAAAGAGAATCTTGAACAGGCTCCATGCCCACATGGAGCCTGATGTGAGGCCTGATCTCATGACACTGAGATCATGACCTGAGCGGAAATCTAGAATCAGACATTTAACTGACTGAGCCACCCAGGCGCCCCTCTCAGGACCCCCTTAGACATAGTTCTCTTGTCTTTTCTTTCCTCTTGGGGTAGAAGCCTCCGTGGCCTTCTCTGCTCCCAGACACCCCAGTCATCTTTGAGGGGAGCGTGTGTGTGTGAGGGAGAACAGCTAAGCTCAATCCCGCAGAATCGGGAGGGCGGTGTTCCCACGCGGCTTGCCCATCTCCACACAGACCACCATTCCTCTCTGCGTTGTTCTGGTGTGGTACAGGGAAGCCTAAGCCAGAATTTTTTTATTTTTTTCATTAAGATATGTGTTTTTATTTTTCACTCTATTTCTTATTAAGTTTTTAATTTTAATCCCAGTGTAGTTAATGAAAAGTGTTATATTAGTTTCAGGTGTACAATATAGTGATCAGCAATTCTGTACGTTACTTAGTGCTCATCACAAGTGTCCTCCTTCATTCCTGTCACCTACTTCCCCCATCCCTCCACCCGCTGCGCCTCTAGAAACCATCAGTTTGTTCTCTGTAGTTAAGAGTTTTTTCTTCGTGTGTCCCTCTCTGTTTTTTTTTTTTCTCATTTGTTTCTTAAATTCCATGTACGCATGAAATCATAAGATATTTGTCTTTCCCTGACTCACTTTTTTCCCTTATACTCTCTAGATCCATGTTGATGCAAATGGTAGGATTTCCTTCTTTTTTATGGATGAGTAATATTTCATTATACAGACGTACCACTTCTTCTTTATCCATTCGTCTATCTGTGGACACTTGGCTGCTTCTGTAGTTTGGCTATGGCCGAGAATGCCGCTAGAAACAGAGGGGTGTCTGTTTCCTCTGGAATTAGGGTTTTTGTATTTCTTTGCTAACCTAGAATTCTCCCATTGGTTTTATAAAAGACACAGCTGTTCTTTCTGGAAGACAGGGAGAAGGAGAGAGCTAATTCGTCGAGTCAGGGCTGGGAGAAGCAGTGGAAATTCTAGTTCAACTTGCTGCCTTCTGTTTGGGAAAACTTGCACAGCCCCTTTCTGACTGGGGGTCCGGCTGGGAACTCCTGGGTTCCACACAGTGCAGGTTGCCTGCATGGGTCTGACCTGTCTCCCTAGGTCTTTTTCATTACGATCACAGAGTCTCTGGAATCTACAAACAAATGTAATCGTGTTCTTCTACGTCAGCCCTTGACATTAGGTCTCCGTTCTGTCTCCATTCCTCCATGTCCCACTCCCTACACCAGTTTTTTCTGCAGGTCACACGGCTTCGGTTATTATTAAACACGTGGAGAGTGGTTCAGGCTTCCCTTTTATGCTGGATCGTCTTCTTGCAAATGGGCCTGCTGCCGTCCTTATGGCCTTCAGGTCTGATGGTCACACTGGATGTGGTTTTGCAGGTGTGGTCTGACCCGTGGAGAAGACTAGCAAAAATTACTTCCTTTGTTTTAGGCTAACAGACATATATCCATGCAGGGTTGGGAAAATGCAAAGCTACGTGATCTCATTCTCTGGAGGTTGACAGGTTGTTGTTACAGGAGCTGGAGTTTCGGGGCCCGTTGAACATGCTGGTTTCAGTAACACCCCTTCTGGTCTCCATAGCCTATTGCACTCGGGTGTACACTTTTGAGGAGGAGAATCATAAATTAAGAAGCAAGTGAATATTTTTTAGCCTCCAAATTTTCATAAGAGAGGGTTGACAAGATCTGGAGAAACTAGAGAAAAGACTAGTAAAATAAAATGATAAAAAGGAGAAAAGACTAGTATTTAGTGGAAAGGATCTGTAGATCTTTTGGTACTGCTGTTTCTAGTCGTGTACTCTCACCCAGGACAGCTGAACGTGCTACATTTGCATACTTTATTTGAATGGTGCTGTGTTGAGTAATGACAAGTCAACAAAACAATGTACAAATCCCAGGCAGTTACTGGAACCTACCACCCAGCCTTTTGACATTAGAGCATTCTTTTTAGGACTCTGCAGTGACCACGAATCTATCCAAGGCAGCATGAGCTAGAGACGAAAGATTAAAAAAAATTCTCTTCCTTATAAGAACTTGTTTTTCAAATGTACCTTTTCCATGGGGATTCAAAATCACCATCCAAAGATGTGGGAAGGGATTCGATGTTTCGTGTGTCTGGAAGACTGAGGGCTGGCTCCAGTTCTGGATTTGCCCAAAGAATGAGGTGGCCCGTGGTTTGTGAATGGGTAATTTTAAAATTTCACCTTCTACTCTGATGTGTAGCATTTAGTAGTAAGCATTCTCACCGTGCCCCAAAACTGCTTGTGAGAGGACAAGCCCACTCCATTCTTGGGCTCCCACGGTCACATCTGAGCATACTTCATTTATTTTTTTTGAAGATTTTATTTATTTATTATTTGAGAGAGGGATTGTATACATGGGCGTGCAAGCGAACATGAGCAGGGGCAAGGGAAGGAGGGAAAGAGAGGGAGAGAATCTCAAGCAGACTCCCCACTGGGTGTGGACCCCCCCCCCACCAACGTGGGGTTCACTCTCATGACTCTGCAGTCATGACCTGAGCTGAAATCAAGAGTAGGATGCTCAAGCAACTGAGCCACCCAGGTGCCCCCTGAACAAAGACTTTAGATGCTTGTAGAGAAGTAACTGTCTTACTTTTTTAAAATATTTTATTTATTTATTTGACAGAGAGAGAGAGATCACAAGTAGGCAGAGAGGCAGGCAGAGAGAGAGGGGGAAGCAGGCTCCCCACCGAGCAGACAGCCCAATGCGGGGCTCGATCCCAGGACCCTGGGATCATGACCTGAGCCGAAGGCAGAGGCTTAACCCACTGAGCCACCCAGGTGCCCCAGTAACTGTCTTATTTTAAAGGATTCCATTCTGACCATAGAATAAACTTCCATTCTTATCACCAGTTTTAATCTATTTTTAGTTGACTGGACAACAATTCAGTGATTGTATCTTGTAACTATTCATTTCCCCTGTGACTTAGGCTTCATATGACTTAAGAGTTCATATGTAGCCTTAAATTTCTTGGAATTGATGCTTTTTGGGTAATAACATCGATTATAGAAATCTCTTAATACTAGACACAGTACCTAACACCAAATTTCCATGGCTTGGTAAAAAATGGGTAAGTCAGTTTCCTCCCTCAACCTTTCTTCAGTTTGTTGGAGGGCAGCTTTCTGAATTAAAAGTCCCCTCCAGTTAGCCTGTTGTGAATTCAGAAATCAACAAGACAAAATCCAATTTTGTGAAGGGATTTGGTCATGTTCTACTCTAAGCTTCCTCTTGGCCCCACTGTGGACCAGACTCAGCTCTGAATCCAGTGCTGGGCTCAAACTAGCCCAATGCAGCAGCCTTACTAAGTCCTCATTCATTTTTTTTTCCTCTCTCTGGGCACCATCATGTGCTGACATCACAAGCCCAGGGGGGTGGTCACAATGCTGCCACCCAACAATGAGCCTTTCCTAGAGCCCCTGCAGGGGAAAGGATGATGAGAAAGGAGAGAAAATGGGAGGGGGTGTGCTGAGGGGCAAGACCAAGAGAAAGAGAGAAGGGCAAGATCAGGAAGGAACCAGCCATGCCTATTCTAGTGACAGTCAGTAAGTGGTGGCCAAGCCAGCTAAGAACCAGACAACCCAGAGAATGAGGAAGGTCGACCAGCAGGCCAAAGCTCCCGTGAAGAGGGACTCCCATCTGAAGTTAATGGAAGGTGAAAGGGGTTCTGACAATATGCCCTCCAAGTGGGGGAGACCAGGATTTCCATCGGCGGCTGAGGTAAATGGCAGGCAGGGAATGTGGAGCACAATGAGGTTTTAAATGCTTCCCTGTGTTATATGTCAGAATCTCCCCATGCTGGCTTCTCAGGCACAGATCTCACTGGAGAATGGAATCAATGGCTGACATTTGGGGACACAAAAGCCTATTGCGAGGTTCTGGGAGTTTCGATTCCACCTTCTGTTAGTTGGTTTGCTCTGGGCTTTTATACAAGCCTCTTCATCTATTAAGTGTCATTGATTGCCTTCTCGTGGAGTCCTTTTAAGAATGCTGAACCTGGCCATAAATGGCCATTTATAAAATTCTAATTTATACAAATGATTTTTTTTCCAATATTTTGCCTCATTAACATGGAAAATGCAAAGGAAATGCCATTTAGATGTGTGTGCAAGCCACTGACATTGAGCATGTTTTCAGGGAATTCTCCAAGTTGGTGTCCAACCGGAATCTCCAGAGTCTGATTCCCGTTAGAAGGACAAGAGGCAGTAGGGACGGGAATTTCCATTCCCAAACCAGGATCCAAGGAGCCCACAGCACCCTTGTGAAGTAGGTGAAATTTGCCCTTGGCTTCCCGCTCTGGTCTCCTGTCCTCCCGCCCCGCCCCACCCCCTACCAGTTCCCTCCTCTTTCCTTCTTCTGTTCCGCAGAGCCGAAGTATCTGTAGTACCGAGAGTAATTACTCATGCAATAGTAATTAGCAAACATTTAAAGGAAGTTCAATTTCATTGGGATTTTAAGACCATCGTTTTTTTTCTTTGCTTTGTTTCTGAATTGGGATGGGGTGGGAGTCAGACCTCTCTAAGCAGCCAGTCTCTATAGACAGAGGCTCACACCAGGGCCCCTGGCAGGGAAACCCGTGATGGTGGTTCCCGAAGCACTTTTTTCTTCCTGGCTCTCTGGCCCTTCTTTAATGGGTAGGTGGGGAAACAAATAAGCAATCAGTTTTCCCACAACCAAAGAGGACTTAACTGAGGGGGAGTTATAGGGACTCACATTTCATAGCATGGAGTCAGCCCTGCAGAGATGCTGCTGCTACACCTCACCTTGAACCTGCGTGGTGACTGGCGGTATTATTGCCAGAGCTCTCCATTTACGTGGACTTAGAAATGGGTGAATTTGGAAATGTGTTGCCCCTTTATCAATTCTCCATGACAGTCAGCTCCCAATTACAGCTTGACCCTCCAACTGGATATGTAGACTATCATACAAATTGCCTACCTTAATTGTCTTCTGCTGCCCACCCCATGTTGTCTGCCCATCATGGCCAAGTTCAATTTCGTAAAATGGAGATTTCATAATGTTTCAGCCCTTGCTTATAAAAGTTTTTGTTGGCTCTCTGGGACCTTAGGATAAAGCACTAAATTCTTAGGTTGCCATTTGAGGCCATGATGTGTTGGTCTCAGCCTGCCTTTCCTACTAACCACTCAACAAACCCACAAGGGCATTTTCCCTTTGGCAACCTGCATAGTGAATACCGAACACATTTTGGACTTTACCACTGCCAAGCTTTTGACAAACTTGCTGCTCCACCTCTACCCCCAGACCCGACCCCAGATCTCTACTGTACTCATTTGTGTTGATTGTCATTGATGATCCTTCAAGGTCCGGATCAGAACCACCCTCCCAACTTCTTTTTTTTTTTTTTTTAAGATTTTATTTATTTATCTGACAGAGATCACAAGTAGGCGGGGAGGCAGGCCCAGAGAGAGGGGACTAAGCAGGCTCCCCACTGAGCAGAGAGCCCCATGCAGGGCTTGATCCCAGGACCCTGGGATCATGACCTGAGCTGAAAGGCAGAGGCTTTAACCCCTTGAGCCACCCAGGCGCCCCTCCCAACTTCTTAAATAAAGACTGTATCCTCTTTTTCTATCTAGAACTCACTGTGCTCTTTCTCCCAGACTCCTTGGGCCTTTAGGTCTTTATTAATCACTTGATACTAAGAGTAGGTGGCGATGTTGAATGAGTGATCCAGTGTTTTAAAACTTCACTGGAAAATTTATTCAGATCCCACACCAGTTTTTCTACCAATTCCTTTTCCTGTTCCAGGATTCTCAATGGCATTGAGTTGAGGTCTCCTTCGTCCCCTCCACTCTGTGACTGTTCCTCAGTCCCTTTTCTTTCACGATCTCAACACTGTTGAAGAGCTGTTCTTTGATTTGTGTTTGTCTGATGTTTTTTCATGATCACACTGCAGTTGTTACGGTATTGAGAAAGAGATAACTGAGCTGATGTGCGTCCCCAGTGCTTCCAATGGGGGTGGGAGGTGTCACTGTGCATCCCCAAGATGTTAACCTCAATGGTCTGGTTAAGGCCATGTCTGCCAGGACTTTCCACTCTGACTTCCCTTTGTTATTACTAAATATTTTGAAACCTTGGAAATATTCTGTTTCTGCTTTTGCCCTTGTGCACTAACCTTAGCTTCCATCAGTAGATCCTGCCCATGACAATTACGACTGGTATTATAATGGTGATTTTTCTGCCTCCTTCATTCTTTCTCTACTTCTTAATTGGAGTTCTTCAAGGAAGAGTTGCATCTTCATTATTCACTTCTTTATTAGGTTATCATTTATAGACATATAGATTTATGAATTGTTTTGAGTTATTTGGGTTGTCATCTAAAAATGCTATTTTGTTGGACAAGTTCAAACTTTGGCCCTTGGGGGATATCTCAGGTCAGCTCCTGTACTCTTTGAGCATGCTTGTCCATTTTCCTTCCTTCCTTCTTTCCTTCCTTCCTTCCTTCCTTCCTTCCTTCCTTTCTTTATTCCTTTTTCTCTTCCTCCTCCTTCTTCTCCCCCTCCTCCTCCTTCTCCCCCTCCTCCCCCTCCTCCTTTTTTCTCCTTTTTCTTCTTCTCTTCCTCCCCTTCCTCCTCCTCCTTCTTTGCCTTCACCTTCTCCTTCCTCTTCCTCCTCTTCTTCTCTTCCCCCCGCTTCCTCCTCCTTCTTCTGCACTTCGTCTTTTTCTGCTACCACAAGATCCTCTGAGTTCATCTGGTACTTTCCCTGCTTAGGCCCTGGAATCAGTTCTCGAGTGAACCTTAGTTTCCTTTATTGGAAAATAGTATTTAAAATCCAAGACCCAGGGGCACCTGGGTGGCTCAGTGGGTTAAAGCCTCTGCCTTTGGCTCGGGTCGTGATCCCAGGGTCCTGGGATCGAACCCCACATCAGGTTCTCTGCTCAGCAGGGAGCCTGCTTCCTCCTCTCTCTCTCTGCCTGCCTCTCTGCCTACTTGTGATCTGTGTCTGTCAAATAAATAAATAAAATCTTAAAAAAAATATAAAACCCAAGACCTGGGTGTGTGTGTGTGTCTGTGTTCACTGCTGCTGGCCTGTCACTGCTTCTAGTCTCTCTCAGTGAAAAGAGATAAACATATATGTATGTGTAGTAACCTATGCATAAGGCACACATATATATTGATCGATCTATCATCTATCATCTATCTATCTATCATCTATCTACTCACCCATCCATCAATCTCAATCGTGAGCTCATATCTGACTCCAGTTCAGACCACAAGAAACATTCTAGCATTTCCCCCCTCCCCCACCACTTTCAGGTAGAATCTTTCTCCAACAGCAAGAAAACTCACTCCTATTATCTGCAATTTATTTACTTATATTTTCATTTCTGGTATCCCAATAAAGCAGTTTCAGAATTACTAATCCATGCCCCTGAGAGAAACTCCTGTATCGGCTGGAGGACAGGGTTTGTGTTTGGTCTGTGTAGTCCTTAGCCTCATGCTACCCAGTCAGCACACTTGCTGCCAGAGTTAGGTCAGTTCTTTTTTTCTCCATCCTCTTCAGTGTGATTCTGTGATTCATTTACAATACAGTTAGACTCATTTGTCACCACCTGTATTCTGTCTTCACTCCTGCATCATGTTTGACTTTTGAAACTTATCTAGAGAGGTGTTCTTTGCACGGTACAGTTCTCTGAGTACTGACCAGTGCGTACAGTCCTGTATCCACCATCCAGGTTCCCTGCCTGGTAGATTTCTTGTAGACAGTATATAGCTAGGTCATGCTGTTGTATTCAGTCTGACAGTCTTATCTTTTCACTGGTGTATTTCATGTGATTTTTTAAAAAAGATTTTATTTATTTATTTGACAGACAGAGATCACAAGTAGGCAGAGAGGCAGGCAGAGACAGAGAGAGGAGGAAGCAGGCTCCCTGCTGAGCAGAGAGCCTGATGTGGGGTTCGATCCCAGGACCCTGAGATCATGACTGAGCTGAAGGCAGAGGCTTTAATCCACTGAGCCACCCAGGCACCCCGATGTGATTTTGATATGGCTGCATTTAAATCCACATCTGATCAGCTGTTTTCTTTTTGTGCCGTCTGTCCTTTATTTTTTTTTTACCCCCTCTTCTTCTGCCTTCACTTATGTTCATTGAACATTTTTTGGGACTCCGTTTTATCTTCTTATTGACTTGTTAGTTGTATCAAAAATTTTTTTTTTAAATTTCTGAAATGCATGCAATTCACATCTCTAACTGGACTTTCCCTTAAAATAATAGCACTGCATGTGTAGGTCAAGGACCTTGCAACAGCATATCCCTAAGTGTTCCCTCCTGTCCTCCCTGCTTTCACTTTCACATTAGCACACAGAACATCGCTACCATGTTTGTGTTAGACCAGGGCTGATATACTGTGTCACGTGGGCCATATCTTGTTCACCACCTGTTGTAAAAATGATGTTTTATTGGACAAAGTCATGACCTTTTGTTTAGATGTTGTCCATAATTGTTTTTGTGCTATAAGGGCAGAATTTTGCTACAACAGAGATTATGTGACTCGGCAAAGTCTACAGGTTACTCTCTCTCTTGCATGGTTTCTGATGAGAAGTCTGCTGTCACGCTTACCTTGTTCCTCTGTGTGATGGGTCTTTTCTCTGGCCGTCTTTGAGATTTTTCTTTTTGCCTTAATTCTCAGTAGTTCAAGTGTGACAAGTCTGTGTGCACGTGCATGTTTATATGTGTGTGTTCGTGCTGGTATTCATCCTGCTTGTTTGCTTGGTGTTTTGAGAATCTTGGATCTGCGGTTTGCTGTCTGTCAGCAATTTGGAAAATTCTAGGCCATTATTATTATTATTTTTTTAAACGATTCTTCTGCCCTGCTTTCTCCCTCTCTTCTCTTTCTGGGATTCCATTACATAAATTTTAGACTGTTTGATATTGACCCAAGCTCTTAGATGTCCTGTTCTCTTTTTTTTTTTTTCTCCTTCTCTCATTCTTTTTTTCTCTTTGCACTTCAGTTTACATAATCCCTAATTAACTTACTTCAGCTTCACTGATTCTTTCCTCACTATGTGGAGTCAACCGATAAGCTCACTGGAGGTGTTCTTCATCTTCATTATGGTACTTTTCATTTCTAGCATCTTCACTGGAGTCTTACAGTTCCCATCTCTCCAGTGAAATTACGCATCTGATCCTGCATAATGTGTATCTTATGCACTAAAGACTTCAACCTATTCGTTAGTTAAAAAAAAGTCCCTATCAGGTAGTTCCGACATCCGTGTCTACCTGAGTCTGGGTCTCAATGATTGCCGTCT